GGACATTCCTTTCTGCTGAACGCTGCTGCTCCCGGCTCTCTCCTCCTCCTTTTCCAAGCTGCCGTCGAATCCTTTCCAACTCCCGCGTCCGAACCCAAGGAGCTTTTGCTCCGTTTCATCTCCCGCCGCCTGCCTCCCCCCCCAGCCCCGGGCTGTGCTCGGTGCTTTGATCAGCGCTGCCTGCACACACACACACACACACACACACACACACACCCCACACCCCAGGCCCCTGGGATGCAGGAGCCAGCGTTTTGGCGTGCCCCAAATCCCCCCCTGGGGTTGATGGAGACCCCCCCCCCCATCTGCCATCACCTCTGTGCTTCCCCAAACCGGGAGCTGTAATGCCAGGGGGAAGGAGGGCTCAGTGCCCAGTGATGGGGAGCTGTGCCCCAGAATGGGAGAAGGTGAGTGGGGTTGGTTGAGCAGCGTGTTTGGAAAGGTCTCAGTGGGGTCCCCATGCTTGGGAAAGCCATGTGGTGCCCATGAGGGCTGCTCCAGAGCTACTCCATAGGGATTCATGGTACCGGCTGGAGGCCAGAGCAAATCCACTGGAGCAGGGGTTTTGCAGGCAGAGGCTGGAGTAGCTTCCCTCCCAGAACACCCCTTCATTGCCTCCCATGGATGCCCAGCAGCAAGAAGCATAGGTGCGAACACAACCTCACTGCTTCAGTCCATCGTGCTTGCCTTTCGGAGCAGGGAGTGAGCCACAGAGTTGTGCCAAGAGCGTTGTGCCCGGGCTCAGCAGTGGAAAGGGGATGGGGATTTGGAGCTGCTTTGCAGGGGCTTTGTTTGCTTTGGTTTCAGCACAGCCTATTTAACTCCCAAGACTGGCACAGGCTGGGGAGACAGGAGCTCTTTGTTAAAGGCTGAGCAGTCCCAGGTCTTTAAGTCAGCCCGGGTGAAGGGCTCGAGAAGTTGAGGTAGCCCAGGGATGGGTGGATTTGGGGACGGGCAGGTTTCACATTGCTCGTACCTCTAAAGTGAAGCGTGAGAGCGAGGGTTCATGCACCCATCTCCCAAAGCAAAGCCTAGCAGGAGCCCTGCGAAGCACCACCACCACCATCTGCCAAGTCTTTGTCTTCGCAAAGAGGAGGTGGAAGGGGGAACACCCAGCTTTCCGAAATCTCCATTGCAGGTTGCCTGCGAGCTGCAGCTCTTCAGCAAAAACACTTCTTTCTCTGGGTTTCCAGGAAGCAAAATGTTGCCCTCCGCTGTTTGCAGCGTGGTTGGAACAGAGCTCGCTGTGTCCGAGCCTGGCCAGCGCTTTGCTCTGCTGTCACATCCCTGGTGGTGACCAGGGTTTGGAGAGGGGCAACCCCTACTCAGCCCATAGATGCTGCAAAGACCTGTGAGAGGTCTGGTCATCCTCTACTATCCCACCCTGGCACCTCAGCACAGGGCTGATAGGGTGGTTGGCCATGGGCTGGGTTTGGATTGAGGTGGGTCTGCTGAAGACCTCCTCCCGTCTTGTGTTAACAGCACCAAGCAGCTCGGTTGTGCTTCCTCGGTCCAAATTCCTCATTTTTTCATGTTTCTTCTCTTTCTCCTTGGCGATTCTTTGAGCTCTTTCTGGTAACTATAGAGCTACACTGGCAGACTTGTCCTCCAGCTCCTCCTTGCTGGAGATACAGCACAGATGGATCCATAATGCCGGTTGCCTTTTACAGACCTCCAACATCTAAGTGTTGGGGGTTCTTAAATAGGTAAATCGGTCTACTTCCGTAGACGTGGAAACTGAGGCACAGGCTACTTATCCGGGTGCAAGCAAGTCAGACTTCAGGGCCAGGTGATGTGGTTTCACTCGGAAACCTTTGCTGCATCAGCTTCCTTGGCATCAGAGGGACGGCACCCATTTCCCCCTTCTTCTTGCCTAGAAGGGAGCAGGAGCCGAGGACACAGCCCCGTGGCTCATCCCCAACCCGTGACCTCCCCGCTCGCCCAGGAGGCAGCAGGCGGAAATAAAACACAATTCAGGGCTGGCAGAGCCGGGGAAGAGCAGGATGAGCCTTGGTGGAGAGCCCAGCCTCACCTTTCATATTCTAATGCCTTGCCTTTGCCTGATTTGTGAGCTCTGGGGAGTCCTGCTGGGAATTCGCTGGAACGGAGGCACACGCCGCCGTCCCTCGGTAAATTACACAGAGATATAATGAAGGAGGAGAAATCAGTTACTCTGTGACTGCGGCTCCCATGGGGACCTTAATTCAAATATTTGTGGAGCTGAGCAAGTGGGGCGTTGGGGAGCCACCGGGTTGGAGTGTCTCTCGACAGGTTGCTCGCAGGTGGTTGGTGCTGAGGAGGCAGCGCATCCGTCCGCAAAGGGGTTTTGGGCTGCTTGATGGTGCTCTGGGTGGCATTAGCCAAGAGGAAGATGCTGGGGGAAGGTGGGACTGTGGTCTGGCTGCGGCTGCATGGAGAACGGAGGTGGGCTCCAGCCTGCAACTGGTGGTTGTTGGGATGGGGAGACCCATGTGCCCCTTTGCCAATGGCTTTGAGAAGTGTGGGGTGATGTGGGAACCTGCCCACTACCTGCAGCCGGGCTCTGCATCATCACCCCACTGATGTCCTTGATGTCCCCAGGGACAGGGACCTGGGAGGGGACAGCCTGGCCCCTCCTGTGGTTTTTTTGAGGGAGAAGCAGGGTTTGCAAAGCCCCACAAGCTCTCTGCTCGCTGCCCATGTGGCCACTGCTTTCAGTAATGACTACAGAAAGGGTTAAGCACTCCGTGGCAGCGAGGAGCAGGCAAACCTCACATTGCTCAACTTAGGAATGAGAAAATCGATTTACCTTCAGCTCCACCACCAGCCCATTCCCTCTGTGTGCCCTCCAGCCAGGCTTTCTGCCCTCTCTCCTCCTGGGGCATGCCGGCGCCATGGACCTGAGAAAACAAATGGGATCCAATTTGTGCAGCCATCAAACTGCACCAGCAAAGGGGGCACAGCCGTGGGGAGAGTCACCCCCTTGCTAAATGCACGCAAGACCTCCTAGGTCCCACTTCACCCTGACGGCCAAGGCTGTGGCTCCACCAGGAACCTACGTGGTGGCCTCTTGGCTGTGCTGTGATGCTCTCAGTGGCTGGTTTTGCCCAAGCATGGTGAGCTGGGGTGCAGGGTGCTCAGTCGCCAAGGAGAGCTGGTGGGATGGAGGCTGAAAGCATCTGCATTCACCCAGTGCCATTCTGCACAGCCATCCTCTTCTCATGCAGGTCCTACATCATCACCCATCACTCAGCAGTGATGCTGCTACCAGGAGTTATGCACACGAATGTGAGAACGCGCAGATATACCCCCTGTCTGCACACACTCCTCACATGCCCATTCCCATGTGCTCCAGCTCTCCTGCTCCCAACCGGCCCCTCTGCTCTTGTGCTTTAATCACACCCCACGTGTGTGACAGTTTTGTCTCCGGATGCTGGGACCACCACATGTGATGGGGGCAACCCCGCACCAACCAACCCATCCTCACCCTGTGTCCTGCCACCACCACCAGCATCCTCCCTGCAGCCCCTTGCATGCTCGTCGCCTTCGGGGACGCATGCACACGCAGCCTTACGGATCTGCTGCATGCCAACTGTTGGGAAGGGGAAGGGAAAAAAAACTATGGATTCAGCCGAGAGAGGTTGGAGAGGGGGGGAATAGAGAGAGAAAGAGAGAGAATGACAGACTGCAATCCCCCTTGAGTGCCTAGTCTCATGAATATTAATAAGGTGGTAATTAAAATGCAGGGACACAGCAGGACGGATGCAGGCGCTGCCTTCGGAGCGCTGGGAACGGGGGGAGTGCGTCTTTCCAGGCAGGTTTTGATTCCGTTCTCTGATGAAAAGAAGAAAACGGAGCCTTCAACTTTAATCAGTTTAGAGGTTTTTTGACACGACATATCTTTAATTGCTGAGATTTCTGCTCCTCTCAAACCCGGCTCCACCGGCTCCAGTGTAAGCAGAGATAACGAACCGCGCTCGAGTGCCGTGGATACAGCCTGCATTTACACCTCAACTTGTTTGCTACTTTCCTGGGGTCTCACCTCTTTGCCTGGGGTTGCAGAGCACAATCCTGCTGCTCCTTGTCTCTGCAGCCAGGGCAGGAGCTGCAAGTGCAGCCCAGCATCTCTTTGTCTGACACCCCCCCTTTCAACCTCCGCTGCGGCAGCCTTAGGGAAACCTGCTCTTTTTGGGTGGTAAATCCCTCTTCTTATGGCTGTATGGTGAGCTTGGAGTTGGGCATGATGCTACCCGGTGTGGGTGATGGGGATGGAGACTGCGGGAGAAAGTTGGGTTGGGTTGAGTCAGTTTGGATTGGGTAGAATTGAGTTGGCTTGGAAAGCAGGTCTCCTGAGAAGAGTAACGTAAGAGTAAAGGTGGCTGTTGGGCTGCTGAGTTATTAAGGAGGCTTAAATGTCCCTCAATAACCAGGGTTTGGAGGCTGGGTGAAGGTCCTGCGAGGGATGCTCAGAGCTCTGTGAGAAAGGTGAACCAAAGCGTTCATCCTTCTCAGAGGAGGTAGTTCCTCCAGTGGGTCTGGCCCATTGATGGAGTACCATGTTGCTGGGAAAATGAATGGAGAGTGTCGGCTGGTGCACAAAGAGAACATTCTGGGTGTGGGAATCGGATGATGTCAACCCAGAACAGGGATTAGGAGGCAATTTCTGGCAAAATGGAAACTAATGTAAAAAAGAATCCATACGATAGCCCAAAGCAGTGTAAGTGGTTGGGCTGGGTAAAGCCAGAACGTTTGGTTTGGCCTGAAAGGGTTTTGGTTGGTTATGTTTGGGGGTTGCCTGATTTTAATGAGATCTCTTTGTTTACATGGGGGTCACTTTTTGAACTGAAAAAATACAGATTTGGGGGAATGAGAAAATCAAAATGATTCTTTTAGAAAATGCCCAAATACAACAATTCATCCTGCGAGAGAGGGAACGAGATAGTCTGAGATCTTCAAAGCCTCCTCCCCTGCGCTACGCAGGTATTTCTCTTTTTCACTTCAAACACTTTCTCAGCTTCACCCTGAGTTTCAGGATGATTCAGCCTCTCTGAATCTTCCAGTTGGTGATCAATCCACTATTCCTCAGAGCCAAGCAAACACAATCTCCATCAGCTCTCAGATGAGAGTCACCCAGTGAGCAGAGCGCAAGTCCCTTTCAGCCCCACCACCGGTGCCTCCGTGCCTGGGTTAGAGTTGGCCATGGAAAGACATCCCATGTTTTCTGGGCAGGGCAGGCTCTCCTGGATCACAGATGGAAGATAAGGGTTTGGCTCCACATTGGAGATAGTGCATTACCCAGAGAGCAACTGTGATGTCCGAGGGAGCTGCTGTGATGTGGCTGTTGGCTCCTGCATCCTCCTGGGTCCAGAGGTACCTCCCAGGAGGGTCTCCAGGCCTTCAGGCTAAACTGCACTCCCATTCCTCTCTCCCAGGCAAGCTTTGGAGCTTTCTCTCCCTTGGGAGCGTGTCCTTGTGCTTTGCTGACCTGCCTGTGCAGGGAAATGGAAAAGGAGAACTGCAGCATCTTGGAGCCCTTGAGATTTTGTTGCCTGGCAGGCAGGGTCGGAGCTGTTTGTGTAACAGGGTCTTTTCCATCATATGTCTTTCCATAGGGATGGGGGCTGCCCTTATCTACCAGGGGCTGCAGTGGGTTGGGTGTCCTGGGCTCACCCACAGTCCCACATCTCCCTGGTGTCCTGCCCCACAGCAAGGAAGCAGTTCATCCGTCTGTGGGCATTACTGGATTCAACTGCTGCATCCATCTCCTTGTTGCTCTGTTTTTCCTCATCTGGGACAAATAATTCCTTGTGTGGAGGGATGGCTGATGAACCGGGGTGTTGGGAACTGAACTGAATTCCTTGGCTGGAAGAGCACTAACGCAGCTAAAGCTCTTTGCTGAGCACTGGCTTTTTGTGACACTTCCATGAGCCATTCCCCTGCAAAGGAGAGGGACATATCCCATCTGCAAAGCTGTCCCATGCCCTGCACAGCATGGGGTGGCTCTGAGCACCCACAGGACCTCACTGGACCACTAAAATGGGTCCACTTGATGGATGAGCGCAATACCAACTCCTCTGCTCTCAGACCGGGTGAGCTGAAACTGGGGTTGAACTGCCACAAAGCCAGTGAGTCTGTGTCCAGTCTTTGGGTTGTAATGGGTTTAATGCCTTTCGTTCTTGCTTTTAATAGATTGGGTGCTATGGCTTGTGCCTGGGGTTGGATTTCTCTTCCCAAGCAGGCGATGCTGCGGCAGTGGCTGCTCAGCTGGCTTTCCTTGGCCATGCTGGAGCTAGGAAATGTGAGGATGTGCTGGAATCCATCAGGGACCACGGCACATAGAGGGGACAGGCAAAACCACATTTCTGTTGTTTTGTTGGTGGTGGTTTTATTCTCTTCTTCTCCTTCATCCTCTTCTTTCTCCTTTCCTGCAGTGCTACAGCAGCGGATGTGAAGCAGGACGAGGGGAAGGTCTACCCAGTGTCTGAGCTCTCCTTCATTCCAAACTTCCCATCCCTGCCATCCAGTCTGTGCTGAAAAATCCTTGGGAATTATCAGGTTTGCCACATAGATGGGTGACAGGGCTGGGGCGCTGTGGTGGCAGGGACAGCCCTGGGAAGGGCAGGAAGGCAAAACCCTGTGGTGGATGGAGGGAGAAGACAGGGGCTGTGCTGTTAACAGAGGACTGAGGTGGTGAAACATGACCGGGACCTGCTGTCTCCTGTGGCGAGCTGGGGCTTGGCCATGAGGAGCATGAGAGGGAGGGTACAGGATGGGCCCCAGGTACCGCTTCCTGGTGACACCCCTGCAGCGGTCCCAGTCACCCCTGAGTCACATCCTGCTTGCGCTGGCTCCTGTCTCATCCTGCTGCCTGCAGTTTCTCAATCCCAGCATTTCCTGGCTCCTGAGGTTGCCGTGGGGCCCGTGGGGCTGGAAGGGCTGGGGGGGAGCTCCAAGGCATTGGGGGATTTAGGATGGAGGAGCAAACAAGAGTGTCCTTGTTTGCCAAGGGATGGTCAGGGTCCTGCTTCTGTCCTGCCATCTCTTGTTTCATCCCATAACGTGAGGGGCCAAAGGGGCTCTGCTGCGCATCTCCTGGTGCACAAGGGCTCACGTCCTCCACACATCCATCCCGCAGCCTCAAGCCCTGTAACCGGGGCAGAAAGCTGAGGTGGGAGTGAGATGATGCTTATTCCCCTCCTCTCTCTCACCCGGAGCAATGGCTCTGCAGGGATGTTTGTGAGAGCCGAGCTGGGGCCGTGTGAGCCAGGAGCCCAGCCTGACTCTGCAGTTCCAGGCTGAGCCACGCTCGGGTCCTGCAGAGAAAACAAACACTGAGCCCCATCCCGTTTCATAGCAGAACTGCCATTTAAGGGAGGATTTGGAGAGGAGACATCTTCCTCTTTCATATTCCTTCTTGCCAGGGCAACCCCCTTCCCCTGGCATATGCTGGACCCACTCTATGGAGCATCCCAGCAGCTAAAGGGTCATCCCTGGATGCAGCTTTCCTGTGCTCTCCTGGTCCCGGCTTTGTGCCCGGTGCCTTTTCCTCCTCCCCAGACCCATCTCCACACAGTCTGGGCTTACAGCTCACCCAACATCGGACTCCAGGAAGGTAGTATCCTCCTTTGGGATGGTTTGTGCCCCGGCAGGGAGCTGAAGCAGCCAGCACAGGGGGTTAGCTGAGCCGAGCACTGCCTATGGGGGGCTAGGCTTAGGATTCCTGGCCTTGCAGGAGTTATCAAGGGGAGTTTGTGGCAGAGCAGGCGATGCTTCATTACACCAATGAGTGAAGCCTTGGGGGGGGTCAGCTCTTACCTCTGCCACAGCCTTTCTGGGATAACCTTGGTCAAAGCTTTGCACTTTGCTTATCCTGCAGTAAAGCAGAGCCATGGCTCCAGCTCCTTCTGTGCTGCTAAATCTGAGCCTGGCTGGCAAAGGGGGGGGCACGCAGGGGGTCTGCACAAACACCAGCTTTTTTAGCACCAGGGTTTAGCCATGGGAACAGAGAAGCTTTTGCTTGTTACCCACGTGTGACATTGCTTTTGCTTGCAGCTTCCTACCCACTGTGATAACGGAGAAGCAGAGTCCCAGCACTCGGCAGAGGGTTGCTGGCTCCTGCCAGAGCTGCACTGCAGCAGGGCTGAGCCACAGCTCCCATGCCCAGGGCTCTCCCCGTGCTCCTCAAGGCTGTGGGGCTGGAGCCGTGGGTCCCACTACGCTCCTCGAGCAGTACCATGACCCCCAAGCAGCACTTTGTCATACCCATCTTCCACCCTCACCCTGCACTGAGGCCTGTGACGAGTTGCAGGGTGCCCAGGGAGCATCCATGGCTGGATGAGTTGCTCCCGTGAGCCAACCCCTGGGGACCACTGTACCTAGGGGTGCTGCATTTCACCTTGCATGGCCTAAGGAATGGCAGGACACCTTTGAGTGAGCCCACAAGGCTTACTGCACCCATGTGGGGCTCGGTGCTGGGACTACCACTCCCATGGGGTGCTGGCACCACGCATCCTTCCTCCTCCATCACCCTCGGGCCAGCACCCAAGGGAGCATGGCTGCACAGGGACCCAGCCCAGGGGTGCCGGGTGATGGAGGAAGGGTCTCTCCTCTCCTTAGGGGGGAACGTCCGGTCTCTCCGCTCGCTCCCTCCAGGCCAGGCAATGGTTAAATTCCTTTCCAGCTGAGCTGGCAAGCAGAGCCCGAGCATATTAGTCAGATCCCTGTAGGGGGTGGGGAGGAGGAAGGAGAGAGCAGCGAGGAGGGGCCGGAGCAGAGCCGGGAGCGGAGCTATTCTCCGGGGCGCGAGTGCAGGGAGGCAGGCGCAGCAGGGGCTGCGCTTCCCAGAAACTTGATTATTTTTAACCCAGGAAGAAGAAAGGAAGGAAAAGGGGGGGGGGGGACGAGGGGGGAGGAGGGGGTAAATCTGCAGGAACTGGAAAACAGGCAGTTGGCATTTGCGGAGGGCTGGGAAGGCGAGAAAGGGCCCTGCGTGGTGCGGGGATGCCCCGTGGGTCCCCCGCGTGGTCCTGGTGCGGCGGCAGGGACGGGATGCAGCGGGGCCAGGACTGGCTCTGCCCGCAGAGTCCCGGCTGCTCCCTGTGCCCTCAGCAGCTCCATCCTCTCCCAGCACATGTCTGCGTGCTCGGGGAGCAGGATGCGGCCGGTTTCCCTCGCACACGAACAGGGCACGTACACCGGCGGCTGTGGCTTCCTGGATCCCTGCTTGGGAGCTTGGGACCGCGGCTGGTTCAGGGAGCCGGGGAACACAGAAGGGGCCTGACAATGGGCACATATGGGAGGCTTTGGGGGCTGCGTCTCTGCAGGGTTGGGTCTGACAGGGGCACAAGTTGCTTTGAAACACAGGTGAGGGAGGGACACTGGGGGGGTATCATGGAGAAGGCAAGACTCTCCTTGCACTGCCTCACCGTGCTTTGGTGGGAGGCCAGCATCAGAGAACTGCAGGGAGGCCTCGGTGGCAGCCCCACTGCATTCCACGGCTGTGTTTGGTCTGTGGTACAGAGTTTGGAAGCCCTGCAGTTGGCAGATCTTTGGGGAAACACTTCCCCAAGCTCTCCAGCCTTGTCTTGTTGCAGGTCCCCCTCATGGTCCCCTGAGTCCAACACTTTATGTCCCGAGCTCACAGTGTGAAGGCCTGCCACTGCTCTTACCAAGTACTTTATGTATTTTATTTCTCTGCAGCACCCACACTTGTTGGAAGCTCAGCATCCTCCGTGGCTGGAGCATTGCAAGCTCTGGGTGCAAGGCCTTGCTGGAGATGGAGACCCCATCGCCGAGATGCAGAAGTGATGCCACTGCAACAGCATGTGACGGAGCTCAGCACCGTGGTGCTGGGAGCTGAGGGCACTGCTGCAGAAAGATGGTGATGGGAGATGTGATCCTCACCAGGAAACAGCATTGTCTCTGCAGACACACCATGGCCAACCAAGGTAAACCAAGGGCATGAGTCCCTCCCCAGGCAGGTTTTGCCATCCTGGTCCTTTGTGGGACTTCTGCTGCCATCTCCTCTGGTCTCTCAGATCCTGAGTGGGGCTGATTTCATCCACACAGCAACATCAGTGCCTTGTACCCAAGGGAGGAGTCCTTGGTTTAGCAGACCAAGGAGGCCAAAGAATGGATGTTGTTCCCCAATAACAGAGAGGGTACAAGGACAAACAGCTCAGCTGAGCTCATGTGGGCTCAGGCACCTCTCAAACTAGATCCCACACTGGCAGAGCATGCCAACTGTTTGGCTTTCATACAAAACCCCCTTTTGACAGAGGTACCCCTGCTCTGAGGGCTCCAAGAAAGGTTTACCAAGGGTATTTGCTGTCTTAGACCCCAGGGCAATGTTGACCAAGCTGGAACTGGGGAACTTCCCTGTTGCCATCCGGGATCACTAGTGAGGAAAATGCATCCAACCCGCCGAGTATCCCCTGGTGCCTCCTTTCCAAGCATTAAAAGTGCTAATTAAACCTGAGCTGAGCTCTGGTGTCTGCAGGGATCAGTTGTCTTTCCCAGCAGACTGGTCCTGAGCCTCTGCGGGGCCAGTCCCTGGTGCCATCCACCAGTGGGGAAGGTCACTTGGCCCTGCTGCTCTTTGCACCCTAAGTGTGAAGATGGGTGGTGCTGGGGATAAGCCCAATGGGGCTCATCTGCACGACAGCCCCACAGACAGTGGGGTGGCATCATCACCACCTCCAAAACTGGGTACGGGAGAGACAGCGCAGAGGAGCTCTCCTCCCGACCTCTTCCCCTCCGAGGTATTTGGAGCTGGCTCTCACCAGAGCCGGGGTGGGCACGGGGTGGTGTTTCCAGCGGATGGCAGGAATTCCTGACTCTCTGCCAGCTCTGGGTGTTAATTCCCTCCTGTGAGGCTCGGCCGCATCCCAGACCTCCAAAGGCACAAAAGCCCCTTAGAGGGCAAAGGGCTTGAGAGGGGAAGGGGTAACGCCCCCAGTGGGGGTGAGGAAACAGGATGGAGGAGAGGAGGGATGATTTTATCGCTGTGATTTTGCACGAGTGACCTCCCGTCATTTCCTGACCCCCAAGGGAGCCGGGGAGCTGCCGGAGCAGCGTTCGTCAGGGTCCCCCAAGCAGGAGAAGGTCCCCAGCTCTATGGGCCACATCCCTGTTGCTCAGAGGAGGCGTGCTCATCCCCCAGGCTCTGGTGATGCTGAGGTGTCTCTCTGACCATCTGCCACTGGCCTGGGGAGCAGCTCCATGGGCACTCACAGCCCAATGCTGCCCGCTGGGGAAGCTCCCCCTCCACCAGGCACCTCCCCAGGGCTCCTCAGCCCTGCACCCCATAACCTGGGCTTGCAGGGAGAGCTGAGCTCAGCGGGTGCACCCCAAAACCAGCCAAGGACCCCGGGGTTGGGCCGGGAACTGCTCACACACCGTGGCCACCTCGCTCCAAGCAAGCTCTTTGCTGCCTCTCGCTGTGAGGGCACCCGGGGCTGGGGGCTTGGGGTGATGGAGGACCCTCCGAAGAGCCCCTTGTGCTGGAGGGAGACCAGCTCTGTGCCGGCAGGGTAGGGTTTTTTCTTCCTCGCTCTTTGTTAAGCTCCCTTTCAGCTGAAATGGCAATGCCTGGGTGTTCTGAGCTGACAATAATTGCTGCAGTCTAGACACTGTCTGGTATGAGGCAGGGGAATCAAAGAGGCCCCTTCTCTCACTGCGACTTTCACACATGCTCCCTCGCTCGGGCTCCTTCCTTCTCCCTCTCCCATGTTCCCTTGGTCTTTGCTGCCTTCTTTTTTTTCTCTCCCCTTGCTCCCCTCTATCTGCCTCTCGCAGAGATGGAGGAGAAGCGTCAGCATCTTCCCCCCCACGCTCTCCCTCTCTGCCGTCTGTTCCTCTCTCCCGCTCCCCCTTCTCCCTCGCTTGCTCCTTCTCTCATCTGTCTCCTCTCTCCTTCCTCCACTCTTACCTTTATGCTATTCCCTTCCTCCCAAAGTTAGCAGAGAAGCAGGAGGGGGGGCTGGCAGTGCTGGGAAGTTAACTCCTTCCTTGCCCTCTCGCAGGCTCTCCTCCCCATCCAGCTCCTCACTGGGGTCCAGGGTGCCCCGGCTGCTTTGGGGCGCTGGGCTCCTCTCTGCAGCCCAACCCCATGCTGGGGCTGTGGCATCAGCCCTGTGAGAGGTTGGGTCGGTGTCTGTCGGGGTTGGAATTGGTTGATGCAGCCTGGCTGGGATGAAGGGGGCTGATGCAAACACCTTCCCAGCACTGGGAACCGAGGGCAGGATCTTTGCTCTCCCCTTGCCTTCCCCACAGCCACGAGGGACCACATCCTTGGGGATGTAGGTTGCTCCTTCCAGGGCTGTAGCAAGCCAAAAGGAGATGGTTTTTCCACCCACCCACCCACCCAGACCTCGGAGCAGCTTGCTGTGCTGCGAGAAGGGGAGATAAATCTGAGCTCGCACATGGGTTGCAGCAATGCTGCTGCCTTAGGCTGAGCTCAGCCACCCTGGCACTGCCCCATGCCTGCTGTGGGCTCTGGCCAGGTCGTGTCCCACTGGCATGTCACTCAGGAATTAGGCCTTTCTGCTGTAATGCTGTTAACAGCTCGTTTCTAGCTCACCCCTGGACTTGTATTGACCTCTGATCCCTGTGCAAAAGACCCTTTTTCTGTAAAGCCCAACAGAGAAGGCCAGGTTTTGGTTCATGTGAGATCTCATTGCAGGGAACACACCATAAATGCTTTGACAAGGGAGGAAACTGAGGCAAAAGAGAGGCCGTGAGCCTGAGGGTCAGGCTGCCGAGGCCAGAGCTGCTGTGGGACCACTCAGCTCCCCTCTGTAGGACCCAAATTTAGGGCCACACAATTAGAGCCTCTCACTTGGTCACCCTTGGGCATGAGCGAGCAGCTCTCTGTGACCTCCAGCATCTCGGTGCTGCTGTGCTGCTCGCTTACCACGGAAAAGTCACATTAGGAAAGTATGTGATGTATTTTTAACTGTCTATAATGCAATTTAACAGCTGGAAAGGAGGAAAAAAAATCCAACCCCATGCAATCAGCCAGATCTCTGCTGTCCACAAGCGAAGGCTCGGTGGACTCAAGGGGGTTTTTGGTCTGGTTGGAGACCTTGTTTGGGAAAAGAGCAGGGAAACAACCTCATCCTTGAGACAGGCTGTGGCTCAAGGAAGGCAGTGAGTGCAGGATGGAGGCCAGAGGACCCAACAGCGCCCAGCGTGACACGCTTGTCCCCAAAAGCCACTGTGCTGCCTGCATCTGTAGATGCTGCTTCCCCAAAGAGCTGGGTGTCTTGGCTGTGCTTCAGCGTTGGGATTCTTTGCATGCTCTGGCAACGAGGTTTACAGTGGGGGTTTCTGGGAGCCGGGCTCTTCTAAACATCTGCTCCGCACTGGAGGCAATAACATGGGACACGTTGGCCCCTGCTGTGCCCAGTCCCGGGTTCCTGCAGTGCTTCCAGGACTGGATTTGTTATGGATGTGGGTCCTGCCTGCCTGCACCACCACCACCCTCCTTCCCTGCACTCTCCCCATCCACCCCTCCAGCCAACCACTAGCACCTTCTGCTGTGTGCAGGGAGGGAGCATGGCAGGGCTGGAGTAGGAACAGGATGCTCGTGGCTTCCTGCCTTCCCTACTCACATCCCAGGGCAGCATCTGCATCCTGTGCACTGAGATCCGGGTAGTGAGGGCTGGAAACAGCTCCGTGCCATCTAGGTAGGTGTGCTCCTCCACCACCAGTAATGGGTCCCTAACAGAGCTGATCCCTAATGGGAACCCTGTGGGGCATGGGAGCTCTTTGGGCAACAGCAGTAGGGCTTATTTTACCCATCATTTCTAGCTCAACCCTGGACTTCTGTTGACCTCTGATCCCTGTGCAAAAGGCCCTTTTTCTGTAAAGCCCAATAAAGAATGCCAAGTTTTGGTTAATCTCGTTGCAGAGGGCAGACCTGGGCTGTTCTGGTTGGTCTGCTGCCTCCAAACAGCTGGATGTTTTAGGGGGGCAAGTTTGCTGCCATCATTGGTGTTACTCCTCTATGGACTTCTCCCAAGCATAGGCCCCAAGGCACAGAGGAAGGGAATGAGACTGGCTCCAGCCCCATCCCAGGGGACACCCCTGTGGCAAGGCCCATGTGAGGAGCAGTTTGGGGGCTGGAAGCTGCCAGCAGCTGGTTCCTATATTCAGGCCTTTGCACACACACACACACACACACACACAGAGTAAAATCAAGCCATGGGATGGGGATGGGGCTCAGTGGTGGGGGGGCTCTGGTGAGCACTCAGAGGATGTAGGACCTGCCAATGCTCAGAGCTGCTGCTTTTTGCACACCTTTGGCAGGGGTGATGTGAAGTTATGTGGAGTCTCCTTGGACTGGGGGGTATCCCACTGGGCAGAGCATCGCTGGGCTTGGAAAGGGCTGACAGTGGGAGAGCAAGCGGAAATGCAGGCATAGGGAAGGGAAACAACTCGCTGAAGGTCATCCCTGGGCCAGCAGCAGAACCAGGAATAAAATCCAGGTGTGCTGAGCTGGTCCTGGGGTTGTATTCACACATGTGCTCGTCTTAACACTGCTGTCCCGGGGCAGGAGCTGCTCATGGTAGGAGTAGTTTCCTAAAGCCACCAGTACCTTCCGGAGCCATGCCACAGGCTGCAGGGCTGGTTTGCATCTTAAACAAAGAGAGGTCTGGCTATTTGGGGTCTCCTTTTCCCTCCCAGCATCTTCCAAGCCCTGCTGAGTAGATAAGGAATGCTGTTGGATGCTGGCTGATAAGGCAGAGTGGTTAAAAACACTGCCTTTATTTGGAAGCTTATCTCCAAATCCTAATGAAAACAGACACAGAGGGAAGCCGGGGACAGCGGGGAGGGAGGACTCACACCCCAGCACTGCAGGGACTGGGATGGGTGGTGCTGAGCAAGGGGATCTGGTGGGGTTTGGAGTCTGAGTGGCTGCTGCACATGGTGAGGGTGAGATTGAAAAGCTTTGGGGCAAACCCAAGGAACCAGGGCAAGACCATTGGGTGCCAAGAGCCTGCAGAGGCAGCTGTGGTCCCCTTGGAGCACCCCGAATTGGGGATCCTCCCTAGTTTGTTCTTTTTCCTTTAGTGAGGGGCTCGGTGAGGAAGAAAAACCTTGAAACCAAGGAAACAAGGGAGACAAAAAGGAAAATGTCGGCTCCTGCAAGGCAGAGCGAGCTGGCTCCAGCACCCTGGGGTGAGGGTGGGTGCTGCCCCTGCTGCCCTGAGCCCCCCTCCATGGCTGGGGGCAAGAAGGTGACCAGGGTGAGATGCACTAAGGTGAAAGGAAGGTTCTTGTGCAGGGAGGGAGAACCCTGAAGGGTTCTGAGCTGCTCAGGAGGAGACTGCTTTGGTGCCAGAGGGATGGTGGAGGAGGTGAGCAGAGGTTTTAGGGGATGCTGTGAGGCAGGGGGCAGCTATGGCGGGCTCAGCAATCCCACAAGGACCTGGACTTTCCAGACACCAAAATAATATTCCCAGACCCAAACTT